ACAAATGGCATTCATCGTCAAGAAAGCACTGAATTTGGGATGATACTGTGGAAATTTAAAAAAAAAAATGAGGAAGTAAATTAGATTGCACACAAATCTTCATCTATCACTTAGAAGAAAGCATTGCCGTGTGTGGTTCTTGGGTGGGATACTTGAGATGTAACTTAGATTTAATCATTAGGGAAGCAAGGAAGGAAAGAGACTATTATGAAGGTCGTGATCATAGGAAATCCTGCATGACATTTAACATTTTTGACTTATCAATAAATTAAGCAGGAAATGAGCTTTACAAGTAAGAATATGGCAACCCTTTCAGAGACCAAACGTTAGTGGAAATAAGTCATTTGTGTAAAAAGAAAGTGGTTTTTATTAGGAGGAAGAGAAACAAATGCTTCTATAGATTCCATCCTTCATGAGTTTTCAACATCTGAGAACTCACATAGGGAAGAAATTTCAGGAATATGAGCACATCAGGAAAGACTTCTGCCCTAATGCAGTTTTATCTTGAGAGAATTCATACTGGAAAAGTTCTTACACTCAATAATTGCCATCTGAGAACTCTGAAATCATGAGAATGTAATTTCTGTGGAAAAAGTTTCACACGTAGCTGTCTTGCTCAGCCTCATAGAAATCATGCTTGAGATAGCCTAAGAACATAATCACTGTTGGGAATACTTCAGGTGTTACAGAACCTACTGGCTGGGAGAGCTGTGAACATGACAAAGTAGGAACCCCTTCAGTAGGAGTCCTCATTGTTTTCAGCATCAGAGGACTCATATGGGTGAGGATCCTCTGAATATAATGTCTGCATGCAAATTATCAGTCTTAGTCCCACCTTATTTAAAAGAGTGAAAGAAACTTACACTGGAAGGAACCCTATTGAATAATTTAAATGTGGTATTTTACCCTATTTTTATACCATATGTTATACAGAAGGTGAACCCTACATAAAAGTTTGGTAACATAAGTATATAAATGTAGTAAGACAGGTCTTGTCTTTTCTGATTGGTTTTACCATCTGACCTGATCGTCTGGAACAAATATTAAATAATAAGAGTGAGCAGGCTTTCTTATTTCAATTCTCCTGTATGTCCCCTTTGCTAGCACAATGACTGATTCAGTAAACTATTACCTAGCAAATAAATGGATGAAGAAATTGCAAGAGATAAAGAGTGTCTTCAAAGAGGATACTAAAGAGAACAGGGTGTGTAAGAGATAGTAAAGGAAAATCATGAGATGGTGCTACAAGGAACTCTGAAGGGCCCACATCCTTGGGTACTAGGTTGAGAGTGGCTAACAAGCATTTTTTTGCTGAAATTTAGTCTATCCAAGTGTGGTCACATGCTTTGTGATCTTTTATTGAAGAACACTTTACATTCTGTCACCTCCCACATATTTGCTCTCTAAGACGTATGTAAATCTTGAGCCTCTTAATCTGGAGAACATTTCCTGGCATCCAGAGTTGGTACCCGAGGCTAATTCCAAAGGCTGAAATGCCTTGACTGTTAATTGAGTGTGAAGGAAAACAAAAGAACTGAAATGTTGAAGCAGACATTTTTTGGAGAAAAGAAAACTACCTCCAAAAGTCCTATGGAAAGAGGAAAAATAAAAAGCAACCTATAAACCTATACTTGGAGCTGGGTGCTATGCCTCATGCCTGTAATCTTAGCACTTTGGAAGGATCACTTGACTCAAGAGTTTGAGACCAGCCTGAGCAAGAGTGTGACCCCTTTTCTACTAAAAATAGAAAGATTAGCCAGGCACAGTAGTGCATGCCTAAAGTCCCAGCTACTCGGAAGGCTGAGGCAGGAGGATTGCTTGAGCCCAGAAGTTTGAGGTTCAAAGTTGCATTTAGCTACAATGATGCCACTGTACTAGTGTGACTCTATCCCCCCCCCTAAAAAAAAACTAGTGGGGGAACCCTGTACAGATAATCAGGAACACATGTTGCCAAAATTAATGAAAGCACTGTTCACTGCTCTCATAAAGAGTAAAATAGCTCTTTATGTTCTGATATGAACTATGTATTTTTTAAAATATATATTTTAATATAGAGAGACATAAAAATTAAACATTTCTTACGTATATTCACATGTGAACACAAATATGGTTGTGTCAGTTGATCATCACTGGAAGATTATAGAAACTGGCAGGCTGTGATTGCTTCCTGAGAAGAAAACTAGGTGAGAGGGTGACTTTCTTTATGTTATGTGTTCCTTCTGTACCTTTGTGATTTTATATTAGTTTTTAGTGGTGTAGCCCATAACTGCTCATAAAATGGAAATGGCTGTCTCCTTCCTGCGCTGTCACTACAACCTTGTCCAGTTCCTGACACAGTATAGGTGCTCGGTAATTATTTGTTGAGTGTAAGAATAAACAAACAACCAAATGGGAAGATTTTTGGAAAAGTATAAAGTGGGCAAAATTGGTCCTAGGAGAAATAGCAAAATTAACTGTTTTTAGAACAAATTGACCACTTGCATCTTAGTATTGCTCTGGGCAGTGAATATTTTTCATCTTGCTGTTAAAGGGTAGATTTCCTAGTATGTGAATGGTTCAATAACATAATACAGGCTACCATGTTTACAGGTTTTTTTCTGTAAAGTATATGTTGTATTTCCACCAAAGCACAAAATGGGGAAAGTATTGAAATAAAGGAAATATTTGTAGCTTATAACAATTACGCATCTTTTTTTAAAAAAAACATCCTCTGAAATACTGTTAAAATAATGAGTCTTCATCAAAGTGACAGGTTAAAAAATCTGCAGAAATAGTTTTGGCTTATACCAGGAATAACCAGTTTGACACAGATGGAAGGAAGATTTTTAAAACTTTTAAAGAATTATACCTAAGAATAAATTATTAAGGAATGAGCAGGCCCTATTTGAAGAAAATTATAAGTTGCAAAGGTATGGAAGATTTGAGTAAATTTTTGAGGGCTTACAAAGACTAGAACTACTAAATTCTGTTTAAGTCCTGTGGCCATCCTAGCCATCAACCTCTGAAGAGCTGCTGCTGGAGCCATTTTTACTGTGGGACCAGAAATGCAAACCCCTGACCGGGGCTGGCTGGAAAGAAGCAGGTGGGGGTGCAAACCAAGTATCCCCTCACCCCTGGGCCTGCACTACCCACCCCTGCTCAGGCTTCCAAGTGGGAGGAAACCTCCCGAGATAATGTAGAGATAGGATACAATTATGCTGCCAATGAGATTTCCCAGAATTTGACAGAAATATGGGAAAATCCAGACAGAAAGCTGAAAAGCTAGTTGTCTTGGTGATGAAATTTTCAGTCACCAAAGCACTTAGAAGCTGTGTTAAGTCAAGAAATACAGCTTGAGCACCTGCCATGATGCCAGCCAAGTACTGTTTTTTGTTGGGTTTTTTTTTTGGAGACAGAGTCTCACTTTGTTGCCTAAGCTAGAGTGAGTGCCGTGGCGTCAGCCTAGCTCACAGCAACCTCAAACTCCTGGGCTCAAGCGATCCTCCTGCCTCAGCCTCCCGAGTAGCTGGGACTACAGGCATGTGCCACCATGCCCGGCTAATGTTTTCTATATATATTAGTTGGCCAATTAATTTCTTTCTATTTACAGTAGAGACGGGGTCTCGCTCTTGCTCAGGCTGGTTTCAAACTCCTGACCTCGAGCGTTGTTCCCGCCTCAGCCTCAGAGTGCTGGGATGACAGGCGTGAGCCACCGCCCCGGGCGCCAGCCAAGTAGTGTTGTAGGGCTGGAGCACAGCAATGAAAAGCACCTGCCTTGACCCTGCTGCTGTTGGGCCTGCGTTCACGCCAGCGCAGCCGCTAGCATATGTGTCTGATTGAATCAGTGGACATGTCGGCTTGGCTCCTGGTTCGCACGGGCCACCTGTAACTAATGCTCCTGTGTTGGTGCAGACTTATAACACTTCCTTCACAGAAGTTCCATTGGACAGCACTGTTCTAGAGAGGACGGGGGTGGGGGGGTGATAAGTAGATTAGTGCACCAGATGCTCTGAGATGGCAATAAGTGCTCCAAAGAAAATGAAACTGGGATATATGGGGGGACTGGGGAGGAGGTGTGGATGGGCAGCAGTTCAGAACTACACAGGATGATGACTCTAAGGAGGTAACGTTTGAGCTGAGACTGGATAGGAAAGGTGGACCAGGTGAAGAAGCTGGACCAGGTGAAGACTGTACTGAGCACAAGGGTGGCACATGCGAGGGGCATCTCTGAGAAAAAGACGGTGGCTGTGGGAGGCCCCTTTGGTGTGAAGGACACAAAAGCCCATCCTGAACAGTGATCTAGGATCCCACCAAGAGTTGCCTCATTAGAACAAAAGATGCTCCTATCACCTAGAAAATTCCAAGCGATTTAGGAGCACTGTGTCAGAAACCAGGGTCAAAGATGAAATATTAGAAGAAAAGACGTTCCTAACATCCTAGGATTTTCTATTTCATATAAGTATAGTAATAATATGTGGCCTTTTACCTATGGCTTCTTTGACTTAGCATAACGTTTTCAAGGTTCATCTGTGTTATGGTATGTATTAGTACTTTGTTCTTTTTTGTTGCTGTATATTTTATTGTATGGGTAGATTACAATTTGTTTATACATCCCTCAGTTGAGGGCCCAAAAATGGAAATAACCCAGGTGTCTGTTACGAATAATGCTGCTATGAACATTCTCAGACAAGTTTTTATATGCATATGCTTTCAGGTCTCTTAGATACATGTACTAGGAGGGGAGTTTTGAGGTCATGTGGAACTCTATCTTTAACTTTTTGAGGTTTTGCCAAACTGGTTTTACAGAGCGGTATGGCATTCTATATTCCCACCAGCAGTGCATAAGTGTACCAGTTTTTCCATAGCCTCACTTATTCCGATCCATCTTTGATAAAAAGCCATTGTAGTGGATGTGAGGTATATTTAACTGATTTTTATTTGCATTTCACTGATGGGTAGTGATGTTGAGCTTCTTTTAACGTGCTTTTGACCATTTGTCTTGCTCTGCTGTTGACTTGCAGAATATCCTGGGCTTCAGCTCAACCCTCAGGTGGATTCTCTTCCTGCTGAGAATCCCCTGATGAATATTGAGGTTGTTGAGGTCCTTACACTGAACCAGGAGGTGGCTGGTCCCCGGAATGCCCAGATATGGGCTCTCTACGCTGAAGATGGGGTCCTGAGTCCCGACATCCTCAGGGAGCCAGGACAACTGGGCAAGCATCCAGCTGACCCTGAGGCTGCTCGCCAGAGGTTCCGAGAGTTCCGTTATGAGGACGTGGCGGGTCCCCAAGAGGCCCTGGCCCAGCTTCGTGAGCTGTGTCACCAGTGGCTGGAGCCCGAGGTACGCTCCAAGGAGCAGATGCTGGAGCTGCTGGTGCTGGAGCAGTTCCTGGGCGCATTGCCTGGGAAGCTCCGTACATGGGTGGAATCGCAGCACCCAAAGGACTGCCAAGAGGTGGTGGCTCTAATGGAGGATGTGACTTGGCTGTCTGAAGAGAAAGGTGAGTGCAGTGGAATGGCAGGTAGAGTGTCTGCTCTGTGTGGACTTCTTGGAAGTCCCCGTAGGAAAGAAGCTCCAGGTTTCCTGGGAGGGTCAGGGAAAGGGTTGTGCCCACTCTATGTAGAACAAAGACATCTGTGTCCCCCATGTGTTCCCATGTCAGCTACCGAAACCCCTGGGTGGGGTTCAGGACTGCATTCTCTAAGGAGCCCACAGGCTTCCAATAGACGCTCACAGATAAAGTGCTTCTTTTTACCCCTTGGGAGCCCTGCTGTACCACAAGCTGTCTCTTACTTGGTCGGACAGACAAGACTCCTGAGCTCTTAGAGCCTGCAGTGCAGTAGGAGAGACAGGTTTAACAAATGAATGTGCACGGGATGCTGGGATCAAGATGAACTTGAGGGTCCTGGTGGGGTTTATGGAGGCCAAGTCACTGCAGACACCTGGTGTAGAGTGGACTTAGCCAGGTGAAGAAAGGATGCAGGAAGGATGTGCCAAGCAGAGGGAGCATTGCTTTTAAGGGCCTAAGATAGAATGGGTCACAGTATATGCAAAAATCAGGGAGAAATTGGGTAGGTCGGTGGAGGAGGGGAGCAAAGAACCTCTGGCACAGCCAGTGGGGGCCTTGGGGGGATCTGCATGCTGTTCTAAAGCAACAGGAAGTTAAAGCAAGGGGCCTCGATCCCTGAGCTCTGGGAGCAGGTGACACAATTAAACTCAGGTTTTAAAAGTTTACCATGCTGTAGCGTGTGGTGGGTGGTGGACAGAGGACAGGAACGGGACTGGAAGCATGCTGGCTTCCCAGAGCTGTTGCCCCTTCCTCCCGAGAGAGGCGGCTGGCGGGGGAGAGAGCACACGTGGAGTGTATTTGGGAGTGAGACCCTGAGAGACTTGGTTTCTTCAGCAGGCTGAGTTTCACAGACTATGATGCTTCTGCACTGTGCACCTCCATTTTCCATGGTGATGGGTACCCAGAAGATGTTTCTGAAGTGAAGGAATGATAGGTTGATGCTTGTGATTGAGGGGGAAGGAGGAACCTACAGGAGGGTGCCAGGATTCTAAGAGGGCATCCTGGAGAAGCTGGGGTGGGAAGTGGTGGGGCTGGCAGATGCAGAGTCTGGGGTGCTGTGGTCAGCAGAATAACTGCCCCAGAGGTGTCTGTAAACTAATTCCTAGACCCTGTGAATATATTACCTTATATGGAAAGGGGGTCTTGCAGCTACAGCTAAGGTACGGCTCTCAAGTTGGGGGATAGGCTGGATTATTGGGGTGAGTCTGATGTAATCTCGAGGTTTCTAAGAGAGGTAGACCGCAGGATCAGAGTCAGAGGAGATGTGATGGCAGAAGCAGGGGTGACAGGAGGAAGAGCCGTAAGCTAAGTGTTTGGGGCTGCATTTAGAAGCTGGAAAAGGCCAGCGGTGGATTTTCCCCTAGAGCCTGGAAGGAACACAGTCCTGCTGACACCTTGACTTTAACCCAGTGAGGTACATACCATACCAGACTCCTGATCTCTAGAACTGTGAGCTAACAAATTTGTGTTCATTTGAGCCACTTAGTTTTCATCTATTTGTTACAGCAGCAATAGCAAACTAAGTACAGGTGCCAGGGAGACAGCTGTGGAGTTCCTGGCATGAAAGTCAGTGAGTTAGTTCATCCTGTTTAACCTCACAGATGAAATAAATCAGTATCACAGAAAATAGGAAGAGGGTTTCCAGAGAATCCTATATTTTGTGATCATTATGTCAGTTGGGACTCTTGGGCATGACTGTGGCAAATCCTTTCATAGGATGGCTCAGGAGGAAGAAAATTGAGAAAGTTCCAGGATGATCTGGCATCAGGCACAGCTGGACCCAGGAGCTCCAATATGTCATCTTTTCTCCCATATGTCACATTTTCTGCCTTCTGTTGGCTTCACCCACAGGCAGGCTGTCTCTTTATGGGCCTCCCATGGTGGAATTTTTCTTTCCCAAATGTTCTAGCAAAAGTCTCGTTGGACCTGATTGTTTGGCTGTGGGCTGTGTTCATCCCAGATCCAGTCACTGGCCAGCCTGGGTTACATCAGGTGCCCCTTGATGGTGGCAGTGGAGCATTACAGAAGCCTGCAGAGCATGTGGGGACGTGTAAAGGTCATGCATGAAAGAGCTGTGGTTGGGGGGCTGTAGGGCCAGGTGGGGCTATTTTCTGAGGTGAGAGAGACTTGATGAAGCTCACTGACAAAAGGGTGCATGTTCTGGAGCTTGGGGAAGTCCATGAGGTGGCAGGAGGGCTTGGAGGCCAGAAATGGGGGCTTGGCATGAGGCAGCCATCTCACAGGAGGGGCTGGGGTCCTGGACAGTTCCCGAGAGGGAAGGATTGGGACCAGGGGTCTCGACAGTGGGGGCACTGGTGCCCTGTGGCCCGTGCAGGGTAAGGCATCCTGCACCCATCCGGGTGTGGCCGGACACGTGCTGAGAGCAGAAGCTGAGGACGGTGGGGCTGAGCTGGAGCGAAGAGGGCAGGAGCAGGGACATCACGGGGGTGTGGTGGGATGACCTTATCCTCCCTGAGGGTGACCGCACCTCTGATCCCCTCCCAGCATTGCCCGCCCAGGACCCCGCCTGCTGTCGCGAGGTCCCCGCCCAACAGGAGGATATGGCCGTCCAGCCAGAGATGGTACTGCCTGAGGTAGGTGGGAAGGGTCATCCTCTTCTGATCCCAGCATCCCTGGTGAGGCAGGCCCATCCTTGAGGCCTCCCACAGGCTGGGCCATTCCACGCATGAGCTGTTAGGTTTGTTCTGGGCTCTGAAGCAACCTGAGTGTGAAGGGCGTCCCCGTCCTCTGGCCTCTGTGGCATTACTGGAGATGGCAACCTGGGAGTTGAGGGGGCATGAGACAAGAAGAAGGGACTGACCAAAATCCAGAGACTTGAGAGGTAGAACAACCTTCATGCAGGGGCATGAAGACCACATTTATATCCAGGTTAGAACGAGAGAGCCCTCATCCTTCAGAAATGCACACTTAAGTGTTCACAAGTGTCTGGGATTTGTTTCTCAATATCCTAGAGCTACTATGTGGATAAAACAGAGCAGGTTCTGTCTTGGCAGCTGTCAGGGTAATGTGGCATTAGCCAGAGGTCTTTACAAGTGACTAATACCGACTTGAGCATAGCAGTAAATTTATTGCCTTTAGTGTATTCTGGAGTAGGCTTCAGGCAAGGCTGCATCCAGGTGTTCCCAGGTGATGGGAAGAATCTCTGACCGTCCTCAGTCTCATGGCTCTGCTTTCTCCCATTCCTTCTCAGATAGGCTCTGCCCCATGTAGGCAAGATGCCCCTCATCTGAGCAAAGCAGAGTGGAGATGACCTCATTTTCCCAGAGTTCTGGTCAGCTCCCCAGAAAGGACCAATCATGGCATAGCCAGGCGACTGCCCTACCCTAGGTCAAGTGGAGAAGCAGTATTAATATTAATACAAGGAGAAGGCTCTGCAGTGGGAAGTTGTCAACATAGGGTAGGTGAGATACAGGTTTGGGTAGGGTAGCTTGCTTGTACTTGTAGCTCTTTGTGAAGTAGGGGCTTTGGCTCCTGAAGAAGGGACCCAATAGACATCTTGGGCCACAAGTAGGTGTCTCTAAACAAGTCACCAAAGCAGGAGAGTCCCTCGTGCAGTCAGCTGTCACAGCCATCCTTTCTTCTGTCCCCATTGAGAACCCAGCTTAGCAGACATATCTGTGACCTTACAGGAGCCAGTGACCTTCCAAGATGTGGCTGTGGACTTCACCCAGGAGGAGTGGGGGCTGCTGGGCCCAAAACAGAGGACTGAGTACCGCGATGTGATGCTGGAGACCTTCGGGCACCTGATCTCTGTGGGTGAGGCCACACCCCTCACTTCACCTGTCTTAGGGATGGTCTGCCACAAGGGCTCTGAGTTGGGGTTCAGCTTCTTTGGGCCCAGCTCTAGGACTAGGCATGCCCTCAAAGCACCATTGCTCCATCCAGGGCCTTTAACTGGGACTCTAGACCAAGAGGGGTCGGGAACATTGGATCAACAGAGACAGCCTCATGTCTATTCACTCCAGGGGTGTGTGAGAGAACAGGAACTTGGAGAGCTAGGGGAACACCCCCTACACTCGTGCTGCCCCTTGTTCATCAAGCTCAGGGTTGCCCTCTTTGCTACTTCACTGCTTTCCAGTCTCTCCCCAGGTTACACCACTCTACTTGGAAAGACCAGCTGACTTTTGAACACTTAATTATGCAGGTTGTGCTGTCTGATCCATCCTAGCACTTTTTATGGTATCTGCATCTTTTGGTTTTTATTTTTATTTTTTTTCAGGGTGGGAGACTACTCTGGAAAGTAAGCAGTTAATTCCAAATTCTGACATTCCTGAGGAAGAACCAGCCCACAGCCTGAAAGTACAAGAATCATCCAGGGATTGTGCTGCATCCTGTACCTTGGGAGATGTCTTGCAGGGTGGGGACTTGGAAGTCCCAGACAAAGTGTTGAAACAAGCGGGTTCCACTCTGGACAATGTCCTCCCTCAGGAGCCTTGTGAAAATCCTGAGTCCCAGGCAGACGCTGGTCTTGACACAAGCCAGGTTTCACTCCAGAAAATTCCTCCTAAAAAACGTTTGCGCAAACGTGGCTCGCAGGTTAAAAACATGAGACATAATTCGCATGTAAAACTTCATCAGAATCGCTGCGAAAGGCAAAAGGCCAGAGAAAGCAGTGGTTGTAGGAAAATCTTCAGCCGGAGTGTTAAGCAGATTACATTTATAAGAATTCACAAGGGGAGCCAAGTTTGCAGGTGTAGTGAATGCGGTAAAATGTTCCGGAACCCAAGATACTTTTCTGTGCATAAAAAAATCCACACAGGAGAGAGGCCCTATGTGTGTCAGGACTGTGGGAAAGGGTTTGTTCAAAGCTCCTCCCTTACACAGCATCAGAGAGTACATTCTGGAGAGAGACCGTTTGAATGTCAAGAGTGTGGGAGGACCTTCAATGATCGCTCAGCCATCTCCCAGCACCTGAGGACTCACACTGGCGCCAAGCCCTACCAGTGTCAGGACTGTGGGAAAGCCTTCCGTCAGAGCTCCCACCTCATCAGGCACCAGAGGACTCACACTGGTGAGCGCCCGTATGTGTGCCACAAATGTGGAAAGGCGTTCACCCAGAGCTCACACCTGATTGGCCACCAGAAAACCCACAGCAGGACAAAGTGGAAGAAGAAACAGCCTACTTTATAGCCCTCAAGCCAGTTGAAGAGACAGTGCCTTTTCAACTTGATCCTGCAATATATTGATAACATGCCTGGGCCGGTTGGGAATTGGGACTGAATGTGAAAGAGAAGCATTGAGTGGGGACGTTCCCAAGACCAAAGAACAACCAGGGAAAGCACTCGGCATATAATGAGTAAATAAGGAAATGAATGGGGACTTATTAGTATATTGGTTGAGGAGGAAAAAAAGATTTAATTTTTTAGTCATTTGATTTGCTATTGTTTGTTTATTCATTTAGTCATTAAAAATGATATAAGCATTTTAAGATTTTGCTAATAGGTTTAAAAAGCCAGATGCTTAATCTGTGCACTGATACTGTGTTCATGGTAAAGTATTTATATATATGGACAGGACTTGAAAGAGAATGTGGATAAATAAACTATATTTCTGTGTAGAATCTCTTTCCTTCCTTTCCCTGGCTGTGCCAACCTCACCCTTTTCTTGAACAGGGTGTGACTCCAGGCTGAGCAGACTCATATCGTGTATGAGGAGCCAGTGAGTTTTGTAGAGGAGGCTGTGGCCTTCATCTGGGAGGACTGGGGGCTGCTGTGCTCTCCCTCCTCAGAGGAACTTGTGCTAGGGGTGATGCTAGAGACGTGGGTGCCTGGTGGACATGGTCAAGATTCAGAGTCCCTAAAAGCTGGGCCTTCTGGGGCATGGGTTGCTTTAGTTCCAGGCCTGAAAGCCTATTTTTAGAAAGATGCTTGGCTCCTGAGGCTGCCCAGGCCTCTTGCCCTGTCTGCCTCTCCCTTGTGAGCACTGGGGACTGAGCACCCAGTTACAGCCCCCAAGTGCCCTTTGTCCCAGCCCAGGGCCAGGTGTCCCTCCCTGCGATCAGGGTGCCATGTTCCTAAGCCCCCAGTGGCACTACAGCAGGAGCAAGGGGAAGCTGTAACGGGGGGGGGGGGTGCCCCAGTGAGCCCTGGAAGGTGAGAGTCACCGCAGGACCATCCTCATCACAGGGGCCTTTCCTCCACAGCCGCCCCTCTCGGTGCCCTCTGCCCTTCCTCATTTTCGCTTTGGTTTCTGAGGGCCCTGCCCTGGACAAGGTAAGTCAGACAGATGAGGGTGGGAACTCAGTGCAGGGCTCTTGGGTCCTGCCCTGTCTTGGAAACCCTGAGATCAGCCTCTTCCTCAGTTGATGGGAAGGCCCTGTGGGGCTCTGCACAGGGTCTTGTGTCTGGGTGGGGCAAGCACGGGGTTCTTGTTCATAGGTCCTTCCAGCTGCCTCCGGGGTCCCTTCCATCCCACCTGGCTCTCCTGATGGGTCCTCGTTCCCATTTGCCAGGGAATTTATTTTGATGTGTCTCCTCAGTATGGTCACCAGAATAGTGGCTTCCCAAGGATGTCCAAGCTCCAGCCCCTGGCACCTGTGACTAGGTCACATCATGTGGCAGGGGAGTGATGGCTGCAGGTGGAATTCAAGTTGTTAGTCCACTAACCTCAAAATTAGGAGATAATCCTGTGTGATCCAGATGGGCCCAGTGCAATTACAAGGGTCCATAAATGGGGAAGAATAGGAGACAGCAGAGAGATGCAGCCTGAGAAAGGGGCCTTCGGACGTGGGGAAGAGGCCACAAGCCAAGGCACACCTTGGAGGTTGGAGAAAGCAAGGAGAGGGGTTCTCCACTTAGAGCCTCCAGAAGGGAACATAGCTCTGCTGACACCTGGACTCCAACCCATTCCAGACAAGATAATAAATACGTGTTGTTTTACACCACCACGTTTGTGGTAATTTGTTGCAGCAGCAGTAGCTACCGTGTTTCCTCGAAAGTAAGACAGGGTCTTATATTTATTTTTCCTCAAGAAGACACCCGAGGGCTTATTTTCAGAGGATGTGTTATTTTTTTTAAGTACAGTACAACAATCTACATGTATTCAAATACAGTGAAGTTGTCATCTGGAACATCATCATCACTCTCCAAACCCCAAATTCCATCCTGATTTCTTGAGACTCTATTTCCTTTAGAACTATTGGCCCCAATCCCTCACGTGGAGCCACAGAGCTCTCACGGGGCAGATGAGAAGGGCTGCTTGTCTTCTTTCCCACTCCGCGACGACACGCATGGGCTGTGCAGACGCGCTGCGTGGCCACCCGTCACTAGGGCTTATTTTGGGGCTGGGGCTTCTATTGTGCAAATGCTTAGCAATCCTGCTAGGGCTTATTTTATGGGTAGGTCTGATTTTCAGGGAAACACAGTAACTAATACACTTGCATAACACTTCAGTCTCTTCCCTGCCAAACTCTTTCCCCTCTCTTTACTTCCACAGCCTCAATTCCCCTTCTCTTCCTAAGTTCTGTAATCAGCCTCCAGCCCCAGCCATGACAGTCCAAGCTCCCTTCCTGCCTTCGCAGACTCATGAGGCATTGCTGCCTACTAGCCATCCGCACCAGGAGGTGCTGCACCCCAGCACTGGCCCCGGCATTCTCCTCTTTACCAGCCATCCCCAGAAGTTTTTTTTTTATTCCCAATAATACTTTTCTTCTATCTTTATCAGAGACACAGAAAAAGTGAAGCAACAGTATAGTGAACACCCACATACCAGCTACGTAGTTCCAACAGCTGCTTGCATTTGGCCATTTCATCTAATGATACAAAATTATAATTTTAACCATTCCTAGGAAAGTTGCAGTCCTCAGGACAACCTCAGAAGGGCACCTCCTAAGAACAGGGTTGTTCCTGTAAAGTTCACCATTCCTAGGAGAATCATCAGGCACTCCCTAATGTCCTGTGATGTCAGGACACCTACCAGCATCCCTGGGCTTTGCAATTCAGTCCAATCAAGGTTAAGGTATGACATTGGTTTGTTGTCCCAGCAACTTTTCATTATAGCTTTATTTGATTTTTTTAGAAAATGAGGTCTTGCTCTGTTGCCCAGGCTGGTAGTGCAGTGGCGCAATCATAGCTCACTTCAACCTCCAATTCCTGGATTCAAGTGGTCCTCTTGCCTCAGCTTCCTGAGTAACTGGGAATATAGGTGCACACCACAATGCCTGGCTAATATTTAATTTTTTGTAGAGATGGGGTCTTGCTATGGTGTCCAGGCTAGTCTTGAACTCCTGGCTTCAAGTGATCCTCCTGCCCTGACCTCCCAAAGTGCTATGATGCGGCCTCAGCCACCTCTTTATAGTTGCACCTTCCACCTTCTTCTACCCATTCTTTAATGTCTGACAAGTCACCAATCTGCTTATCTCTATAAACTTGTCATTTTGACAGTGTAATATGAATAAAATCACAGAGCATGTAACCTTTTGGATTGGCTTTTTGCATTCAGCATAGTGCCCTTGAGATCCATCCTAACTGTTGCATGGTTCATTCTTTTCTTTTTTCTTTTTCTTTTTTTTTTTTTTTTGAGACAGTCTCCCTTTGTTGCCCAGGCTAGAGTGAGTGCCGGGGTGTCAGCCTAGCTCACAGCAACCTCCAACTCCTGAGCTCAAGCAATCCTCCTGCCTCAGCCTCCCGAGTATCTGGGACTACAGGCACGCGCCACCATGCCCGGCTAATATTTTCTATATATGTTAGTTGGTCAATTAATTTCTTTCTATTTATAGTAGAGACAGGGTCTCGTTCTTGCTCAGGCTGGTTTCGAACTCCTGACCTCGAGCAATCCACCCACCTCGGCCTCCCAGAGTGCTAGGATTGCAGGCGTGAGCCACTGCACCCAGCCTCGTTCATTCTTTTTTATTCCACAGCAGGAATGTACCACATTTTGTTTATCCATTCACCTGTTGAAAGGACATTTGAGTTGTTTCCAGTTGTTAATACCCCTTAACTATGGAACATTTAAAAAGAAATTTAGCTGCCCTACAGTCCCATCAACAACATTAGAAAAAGGAATGTGTTTTTTCAAAAGTTCAGAATGACATAAAATGGAGAGTATGCTAGGCTGGGTGCTGTGGCTTACACCTGGCACTGTGGAAGTCCAAGGTGGGAGGATCACTTGAGGTCAGGAGTTCCAGACCAGCCTGAGCAAGAGCGAGACCCCATCTCTACTAAAAATAGAAAATTTAGCTGGGCATAGTGGCGTGTGCCTATAGTCCCAGCTACTCGGGAGGCTGAGTCAGGAGGATCACTTGAGCCTAGAAATTTGAGGTTGCTGTCAGCTAGGCTGATGCCACGGCACTCTAGCCTAGGAGACAGAGTGAGACTCTGTCTCACAAACAAACAAACAAACAAAGAGTAGAATTGCCCCTCCCCATCCAACCCTTCATGTCTCCCTCCTCAGCTCACCTATGAATAGTTTCTTCTGATCTCCCCAGGAAGAAATTGGTGCAAATGCATGGAAATGTTTGTATGTAGGTAACTATATGCCGGCTCTTTATTTATTCAAAATAATCAAACTAGACACAATATTCTGTACCTTACATCATTTTTTAACCAATATGCCCCAGATCTTTTCATGTTACCACATACCCTGTTTAAGAAAACAGGTGCCTGGTGTTCCAGTATGTAAATATTCTTTATTATTTACTTATTTCCCTACTGATGGGCATTTGAGTTGTTTTATATGTGAACTGTTAAAAACAATGTGTTCTTTTACATGTACCTTGTACTTTTGCAAGAGTATGTATAATATTTTTAACAGTATTTTTAACAGTTGCTGGATTACACAGTATATATACCTTTGCAGTCTTCATCAGTATTGTCAATCACCCTCTCAAAGCTATGCATCAGGCCAGGCAAGGTAGCTCACACCTGTAATCCTAGCTCTTTGGGAAGCTGAGGCAGGAGGATCACTCGAGCCCAGGAGTTTGAGATTATAGTGGGGTATGATAATGTCACTGCACTCTAGCCTAGGAGACAGAACAAGACTCTGTCTCAAAAAAAAAAAAAAAAAAAAAAAAAAAAAAAAAAAAACAACCCAGAATATGTTTTTTTGAATCAGAAGTTGAGGTTCTCGAAATGAGGAGGTCCTGCTGGGTGACCTGGGCGAGTGCCACACGCAATCACAGGGGAGGCAGGGGCAGACCCGACACAGGTGGAAGAGAGTGCAATGGGGCCACAGAGGCGGAGACCGGAATGGGACAGCCACAGCCAAGGAATGCGGCCGCTGCCAGCAGCTGGAAGACCCGAAGAGCAGACCCGCCTGGGGCCTC